ATCATTTTTAATTGCTCATGATTTTTGAACAGATTCATCGATGGGAATAAATTTTGGGAAGACACCAAACTTCCAAGCGTAAGACAAACTGTGAAGTGGAAAGTGACGTTCTACTACTAACCTCATGTTAGATTGCCTTGCAACCGCACAAACCATTCGCATTTAATGGGTCAAACAAGCCTGTTTAGACATATGCTTTACTCTGTGCTAATTAAGTTGATTACATTAAATTAATTAAATTCTACGTCCCGTTAACGCACACAAAAGAGATTAGTAGTTTTTTTAATGTTTTGTCGATCAGCCGGGTCGGCTACTGGTTCGAAAATAAATGCACCACCTCATAACAGTTTTCTTTACCCAGAGTGTCGAAACATGTGGCACGATCTCAACTGGTCTATAACGTTTTGGCAATCTGAGTAAATTTTACAGTGTTAAATTGATAATTCGTCCCGACAACGAAGCCAATCGGTGCTGTAAAACGGCTGCATAGTCGTTTCGGTCTTATTGGGAAGTATCGGCGGTGCGTATCTCACGAGCAACTGGTTAACATTGATCCACACTTAGACACGGTGGAGCTCCACTTGCCTGCACTCTCGAAAATGCTATTTTCGAATGCAAGAAGTTGCGCATTTCCACAAAGTCCTGTTGTCGTTTCCATCTTTCAGAAACTGCATAAAACCGCAAAAGCCTCCTTTGTACCCTGTCGCCTCTGTCAGTGGACCCTCGGTTGCTCACTTAAGGTTTATTGCACTTCAACGAGGTGTTCTAACTTTAGTATTTCAAGTCGAGGCTCCATAAATAGAAATCTTACACTTTATTATATTATCATCGTGTTATTATCATGTATCCTGCCATATCTTATTGTTATATCTTGCATTGTATTGAGTTCTGTAGAAATTGTTCGAAAACTTGAGAAAACACATCGCAAGTTATTTTACTGTCACATAACATCACTGAAACGTAATTTTCGTCGCCAGAATAACACATAGGGTAATATAACGACTCCTTCTCACTTGGGATAACGTTTTGTATGCTGGACGGTTGTGCAACTCTGTATCGGTCACTTGGCTTCCTGCTCCGCCCACCATGATATATCAAAAGGCACGGTAGCACTACACAGCCCTTTATGGAGACAAAGGAAAATTAGTACAACTGTATTTATAGGGTAGCCACAGAGTGTTTCACAAGGTCGTGCCAGAAACTCCGTGAGGGGGCGAGAAACGTCGAATCAAAGGTGCCTGACTCGGATTGGCTGGCATTCTGACCAATCAGGACAAAGCCCTCTTTGGCCCGTGTCCTACACTTGATAAATCCGTCCAAATGATGTGGTGTTCGGTTATTAGGGACGGCTGGCCTCCTTACAGATAAACAGGCTAATCCTTTACTTATACGGACCAGGTTGTTCACCAGCCTTGTGGCAAATTACCGGGAAGCGGAATTGACAATCGCCAAGCCAGGATAATTGATTTCTGGTATTGATTTCTAGGAGTCCATAACACCGTGTGGTCTGACTAACGGTGGGCTTTCATTGGTTGCCAGTGACGTGGCCACGCGACAGCAAAATATGCAACTTACAAGTGATTTCTTTTCTATGGCAGTATGATCTAATCTGGTTGATGATGGGCATTAGATGTCAGATACCCTCAAGAATGGTATTCGCTGAGCAAAGTAGTAGTCGAAAAGCAGTGATTGAGTGATGGATTTTTGAACCTTGTATTGCATCATGATGCCTGTCTACGGAAATGGTATGGAACCAGTTTCGATTTCTTTGTGATATATTGAAGAGATGAGCTGTTGTAGTCGTTTAATCTACCTCATGAACTACACGGAATAAGTAGAAATCACCATGATCTTTTTTTTGTAGAACCGGATTTGTATATGATTTGAGATTTCCATATGATAAGAAGCTGAGTAGCACCCAGATTGAGCACTATGAGGACAATAAAATACACTTGCCTCTTTTTGAGAAAGTCGTCAACGAAAACAAGAACATACATCAAAAATAACAAATATTAGACTCGGAAAATCGATGCATCCAATTCAACAAGTCCTACAGTAAGGAGAGAAGCGAATGATTCCAGTTCAATAGGCTCAATAGTTGAGCAGTGACATTTGGGACGGCTATTCCTTCTTTCAAACAAAATGTGTCGACGTGGAATAAATATGTTTGCTGACTCCCCAAATCATCCACGACGTCTGTCCTATCTTTCCAAACAAACCTTCGCAAATAGAAGTTTGAAGTATGTTGTTGCAGTCTATGCTTCTGATCCAAAGGCAGCCATAGGAAGACAAAACGGGCGTCAAGATGCAAACAAACTCTCCATCAAGTGCGTCGTATTAGTTCCCAAATTTGACGCTTGAATGGGTCGAAATGATACTCTGCTGAGACAAGTAAGTCATGAGATTTGCATGCCGTCAGTCACTGAGGAGTGTTTACAATCTAGCTCTGTGACGCCAAGACATTTGACCAAAAAAATAAACAGAGAATGAGTAACGCGACCAGGCCTCATATGCGACTTTCCACTAAGTTGTTGAAGTAGATCAATACAGAAGTAACATATTACTCCTAAGTTTGCCGTAAATTCTTCGGCAATCCAAGATATCATAAACGAGAGATTCAGGTGGGTCCCAGGTGAGTCTCTCGCAAGACCAAATTTGTTTGCAAATGAATGTATCTCGCCGGTTTGTAAATTTTGAAAGTCAGCATAGCGTGCGGTTTAATTGAGAAACACTTCTAGAATAATCGTAAGGCGCACATAGCTTCAGAGATTACAATACGTCCGAATTTACTCAATCTAAAGACTCACCTGGAACCCAAGTTAATCTCTCGTCTGTGATTTTTTCTGTCAACTGAATGTGCTGCACCAGGCCGCCTCATGTTTCAGTCGCTACGATATTCGAGATGTCGCGATACATGTATAATTGTTATGCACTACTCATAAGGTTGCTGAAAATTCTTCGACAGCCCACGATCGGTTTCGCCTTCCTTGGGGCTCATCAAGTAGGCGCATACCCGGAGTCCGTCAAGCTTATGATCTACTTGCAGGAAATTAGCGGAGTACACTCTTGTTTTAGCTAGACATGCGTGCGTATTGGGGTAAGCTCTTTAAATTTACGGTCCTGAAATCAAAAGACTCAGGTGAATCCCGTTGGCATTACAAGTCCTGAACTCGGAAGAATAAAAGTGTTTCTGATAAGCAGGTTCTTAATGGTGGTTGAAGGATTGTTGAAGAGTTGTTCACTTCACTACCTAAGTCATCTGCACCCTTCCAGGACCTTCCATCCTCTTTTTTTGCCTCTTCGTCAACCACTGCATATTTTTCTCATAATGGAGTGACTGGTTCAGTAAAAAATGATCAAGAACACACCCAGTTATATTTTTTGACGTGAACGACGGTTAACTACTGACGTTTCGTACAAATTTACGACGTATCTACGTATAATTTACACATATAAAGGTACTTAGGTCTACACAAAAGCAAACTTCCTTTTGAGTCTGCTTAAGCTTCAGCTGGTTGCACTTTGCACCAGAAACTAATTGTGCACAAGTGCTCAGTGGCTCAACCAACGTCGTTCGAAAAGTTTTCGACGGAAGATTGGCAACCATAATCAACTGACCCGGACTAAACGCCGTCCAGTTAAACTCAGTCATCTCGGAGATGAAGATCAACGCTGTCGAGCCATCCATCCATTCCAGATCTCCATTTCTAACGTATATATATATATATATATGCGAAAACTATTTTGTCTCTTTTTTAAAGGATTCCTTGGAAACCTGACTGTCAGTTCCGGTCCCGGTTGTCTAACAAAAAACCCGCATTCAACCTCAAAACCACCGAAACCCCAAGGAGCGCTGATAAGCCAGGTCTCTTATACACAGTCAGAGATTCAAACGACTCAGAAATTTTCAGTTTTCTAAACCGGCTGTTCGTGGTAAAAACTGTTGTGATTCAATTAGATTGAAAGAGAATAATACAAGAGTAATTTTCGTCCCATAATCTTCCTGAAGCATATTCTTCTCTTGCCTTCACGTAATAGACAATCTAGTTTACTTGTCAATAATAAATTCTGTATAAACAGACTCTGTATATATTTGTCTTCCTTGTGCATATCGCTGCGATCATGCAAACAGTTGATAAACGCCAATCAAACTATTTTCAAATTTCTAATCAAGTTGAATTTGAGAGAGAGAGAGAGGGAAGGATAATGGCAATATTTATTCATCAAGTAACTGACTGATATATTCAAATATCAATATTTGTTTTACGCTGACCCAGAAGTTTGTCAATCAGAAATATTTGCGGAGTGTGTGTGTAGTTGACCGGTGAATGCATCCCACAGAAACACGGTTTGTGTCCGTTAGATCGTCTTTGATATCTTGGCTAATAATCCTGAGATTTGTTGACCCCTAAACCAACGGGACCAATGATGACCAGATGGTTAGTTAAACAATATAGTTTCATTCCCAAAACATCAGCACCAGGCCCTCTAATCTGGGTCTTTTTACGGAATACTTGGTTGTTGGGTTGCAAATGACATCTCATATACCTTCTCACGTCTATGGCACCCAAGCGACGAATTATTTGGACCTGTCGTCTGGTAAAAATGTGCCGAAAGTTTGGAACATTCGATGCATGCGAACAAATAACGTATGTTTTATTGTCACATTCGCCTAGATTATATCAGTAAAAGTCCCGCATTGTAGCCCAGTCTCACTAGCTGCCTCTGTTTACGGGCCTATAGAGTAGAAGTTCCCACCAGGCGAGGCTTCCCACTTAAAGATATGAAATCTATGTAAGCTGATAAAGCAAGTGCAATTGAAAGTTTCGTTAATGTTATCCAGAGACTCAGCTGAATCAGGAAGGTCAGATTCTTGAACACAAACACTAAATGCCCGAAATCTGCCTGGACGCTCAACTCCCATGGATGCTGACCAGACAGACAATGCCCCTTCAATATGCAGCGCGTCACAACCTTGTATCAAGGCCAGATAGCGTGAGTCAGCATAGGATCAAGGTCGGACAGTGCTTCTCAAAAAAATAGCCTGATGCCGTTGTACTTGGCACTAACGTTCGCTTGTTCGTTATAAAGTAGTTTTGTTCCTTATCGGTAAACCCTTGTTCGGCACCAGGCAATGGAGCTAGAACAGAAGAAAGATATAACACACTTGGGTTCAAGTAGAACATAAGTTTGAGGGAAAGTCGGGGACTACTATCTACCTGATAAGCCTCACAAAGGCCGAAACCAGTCTTGGGCCGTTGAAGAGTTTTCGGCAACCATCTCAGTAGTTTTCTTTATGCAAGTTACGAACAAATCACGTTTGACCATCCGTTCTTGTTTGATAAATGTCCGATTTACGTCAGTTGACAGATGCTTGGAAAAAGGAATTCTTAAAAATCACGAGAACTTCGAACACCTGCGTTTTATGGTTCTCTCCACAAATTAGAAATGATGAAAGAGTTAAGTTCCCACCAACGCTTTGCTCACAAAACAATAAACGGCGGGTCTTACAAAGTTTTACTCATGGAAAGACGAGTGCCTTTCAGTGTAGAGTCTATTACCTAAGCACACGAACTAAGCGGTACGAACTACTAGGTTCGAAAGTAACACCTTATTTGCACAGTTTCAGAAAGGTAAATATTCTCAAGCGTCCTTTTGAGCTTTCCCAGATCTTCGAATAAGAAATAGTGACGGACAAACACTGTAAAACGGCTTCGTAATTTCCATACCGACCTTCACCTTCCATCAGATGCGAAGATGGAGTTTTGACATCTGACTAGACACTACTACCATGTTTCGTCAGTAGTATACAGTTACTCCTGTATTATCCAGTTCCACGTTTATTTCTCCTTCACACTTATGCAAAATATCCCTTATTTCATTTCCAAAAGCAATGAAAAAATCCAAAATAGTACGGGGAGAAGGTGAAAGCCAAGACACTACTGATCCACTTTCATCTTCAATCTCTATCGGGTTTACTGGTAAAATCGCCCCATAAACGGGTCACCGTTTCCACCCATGATTGCCAGAGCTGGTTCTTAGGTTGTATACTTCGGTTGCAATAGTGCTCCTTTACTGTTGTCGCTCGGAAGAAAAAATTTCCAATCCACTCGATCGTCATCGCTGGTGCATCTAAGGCCCTAGTCTCCGATCCCCATTTCCATTGGAGTTGGGTGTCGTTGCAAATTTAGAAATGATGTTTGACAGACCAACCGACACATGCTCGGATGTAATGGGACCCGACGTTTTGGAATCCTCAAAAAGATCCCGAAGTATGTTGAAGACCATGGCGAGTCTGAAAAGGCCACGAGAGCTAGCTACAATAAAGACACATAGGTATGAAAGTTAGCAAAAACAGGAATCTACCAAATCCAGTCTTGGTGGTATCTGGTTCATGTTTGCACAGGTTTTTGTGCGTCAAACGACCACGCATTGTTTGAAAAAGACAGTTAGTTCATACTAAATAATCATCACTGGAAAGATGGCTTGTATTTATATTTGGAAGAGGATATTCTTAAAATACAGAGGTTTTAAAAAGTGTGATGATGGTCGGTAAAGATAATTGGCCATCAATTTTTACTTGTGATTTTATTAAGCAGTAGTATTTTGGCTGTAACACTCCGGCGTTCGGCTACCATGCCACCCGGAGGAAACACGAGGGCTGTCAGGTTTTTTAGGCCTAGACAGGATCGGTCGAGATGCTGGATTTGGGTTCGAATCACGGGTTTTCCGGTCAGCAAGTTTAAGTCTTAACCACTGATTACTCGACCGACACTGTGTCACTTACATTCTTGTTTGCTTCATCGATTTGCTCAAATGGGTTCACGAAACTATTTGGCATCCATCCACAAAACATCCGTCCGTAGAAATTTAGGTTGACTCTAAACCAATTGTCATTCACATTGCTGTCTGTGCAACCTGTTTGACTCCCGAAAATAATCCGTGTAGACATCTAACTACGTCACATCAGAGGTCCTCCAAACAGTTGCGCCAAGCCAGTTCCCGCCAGACGTTTCAGCCTCTGATCAAGAAAACACCAAAAAATACCCAACTGCGCAGCCCCCCTTGAAAACCCGCTCTTTTGGAGCCATAAAATTGTTTGCTTTCAATAAATCAATTTATTTGATCAAGAAAAGCCAATTTGCTGAGGGAGAGAGAGGTGAATATAAAAGCAATAATGATAATGAGAAAGCAAGTTTGTGCCTCGACGAAAAAATTCTTCGAGGTTTCCTGAGATGAAAAAATAGTTATTTCAAAGCTTACATGCATGGTAAGATTGCTCGAGTTTGAGACTCGATTGAGTCACGTTTTGCCAATTGCACATAGATTTTTCTTTATTATAGTGTGCAACACACAGGCTGCCTCAAGGTACCACTGCAAAAATGTTCGATGAAGTTTCTTCTGCTTTCCAGTTGAGTAGTAAGGGAGATTTTCTCAAACTCCGCACACAGCTCACTACCGGGGACTACGCCTACCCAATGGGCGCCAAACAGGACGAAATCGGTAGTAGTCTGACCGTGGATTTCAAACAGTTACCCCGTTTTACCCAACCCGGAGAGAAATTTATAGCATAAGGTGGTGAATTTTTAGCTATTTAAAAAACAAGGGATGACACGAAATATTTGCATGAATGGGATCACCTGTCAAGTATAAGATTTCGACCAAATGTTGCGGACCGTGCGAGCGCCCATCTGATCGATCGCACATTACACTACATCATGTGATGAGTGATCAGGTGACTTGTCACGCCAATAAAACGCTAACACAAACACGTGACGCGACCTGTGAGTGGGAACATGATCACCGACATTTCCAGATCTTATAAAAACAAGAACAATTACAAGAAAGACAGTTTTTTTCCAAAAAAGAAAATATCTTAAATATTACGGTTATTTCTTTCGGCAAATTCTACTTTCTCCAACTCTTATCAAACTGAATGAATCAAGCGACCAGCCACTCTGAAGCTAACCTTCATACGAGAGCGAAATTTCTTCCCGTAATATTTACCTGAATTTTCAGCGCATCCAGCATTGAAGTGAGAATAACTGAAAGCTGAACTCAAGGACAAGAGAACTGAGGTACTTAATAGGCTCTAAATTAGATTTTGGGGTTAAACTTGATGTATTTTTGTCAAAACGAATGATGCCATATTGGTAAGAATAATAAATCGTGTGAACTATTTTGGCGTGTTGGCGATAAGAAATATATTCATATAAAATGGATGTCGAAACCTATTGGCAACTGAAACCGTACACATAAAAAATACACAATTTAAAGTAAAACACATAACATCCGAAAGACACTTTAGAAAACTTGGTCCAAATCAAATTCAAACCCGCCCTGAATAAGCAACACTAAAGGAAGCTGCTAGAACACGTGAAGACCTAGTAATCTACCGTCACTTTTAGAAGGGTTTTCTTACCGCAACATTCCATCGAGTATGTCGTATGGCCCTCTCTGGGGATCACTTTAGGCGCTGCTGGCCATCGTACGTAACCACATCCGTATTTCTGCCGAAAAATTAAACGTAGGGAGTCACTTTTCAGAGCTGCTTTAATATTCTCATAGGTTCAGACATTATTCTAATCTGGATCTCGTTTTTACGTCAATACTTTTTAGACCGTTAGAATACGGGTGAATATTGAATAGTCATCAAAACACTACGTGCGTAAATCTTAAGGAAGGGCTATCCAAATAAATATTACAAGGCCGAGGCAGGAGCAAACAATTTGAATACAAACATCTCTTGTGTTTAGGCATAATACACTACTCCCATGGTTGTTGAAAATTCTTCGAGAGCCCACGACCGGTTTCGTCCTTCTTGGGGCTCATCAGTTAGGTGACGTCTTTTGTTTTCTCGGCTCATCACTTGTGAACACGTGTGGTTCCACCGAAGATGCCACACCCTTTGAATCGCGTTGTGGCTGACAACGCTTGTTCCTGTAGCCACAGGCTGAGTCACTAAGTTTTACTGCATGTAATCTAATCACTGAAGAAATGAGCTAAGTTTTTAACCTGTTTTTCGGCCACGGCACCGCATTCGTGGTGAAAAAGAAAAGAAAAACTAGCCAGCGGCAGAGTTCTCGACGACTTGTCAAATAAATCTGACAATTTTTTGAATAAAATGCTTGGAAAGGTAAGCTGAAAAGCACGGGGCCTCATGCTAGTTTATTTTTTGATTGGTTTCTTGTAATTTCAGTGACGGGATGTTCGTCAATTTTTGCCACCGCAAGATCATCTAGATCTTTTCCGGCTTTTGGGCGACATTCTCCATGATTGAGCACTCATGGTATAAAGACCCAGACCAGGGAATCACGTTTATATGACAGGACACGTGAAATTATCAATGGTGCCACTTCCTCCGGAGTCTTGCTTACAATATGTTAGAAAACGGTTACAAACTTTTTAGTAGTTTCTTGTGGCACCAGTTGGGACGTTTCAGTTCAGACGCTTAGCCGTGAAACTCATGCAGAAATTACGGGACTGTCATCAAGCAAGAAATTATAGTGAACACATTTCGATACAACTCTGAGCATCAGTAGGAACTTCAAAGCACCACACATACTGGTTGAATTATTTTTGCTTTCCATACCTGAACTATCGATGTCTTTCCCCGAAGCCGATTTTTTGCCTTCTGGGGAGTGCACACTGTCATCATCATCATCGTCATCAACATCATCATCATCATCAACATCCAATTCATCATCATCAACATCACCATCACTATCATCATCATCTCCATCATCATCATCATCATCATCATCATCATCATCATCATCATCATCATCATCATCATCATCTCCATCACCATCATCACCATCATTATCACCATTATCATCATCATCATCACCATCATCATCATCATCATCATCGTCATCATCATCATCGCGCACACTGTAAATAAGCATAACTCTAATCTGTGAGTGTGGTTACCTAAGGAGTAGACTGTTAGATCTAATCAAATTCAAAAATTACAGGTGGTTTTGAAAACACAAAATGTTGTCTTGATTGAAAAAAACGTTCTGCATCTGCGCTCCTGCGTGTCTTGCACTGGACTTCAAGTAGCTGTGAAGATGCCAGTTCAAAAGTCAATCCATCCACTACTCAGATATACCCGATAAGCTCATGGAAATCTTTTGAGTTAGAATACTTTCGATTCTTTATGTGATTAGCGGCAGTTTCAGAGCAAAGTGTATTATATTAGACAATCAGTTAGACTAAATAACAAAATACGAAAAACTTTCAGTTTTCCAGAGGTAATTTTAGTGAAACTGAAGGAAGAGTCACTTAGTTCGGACAGTGAGTCACTTAAATGGAAAGAGAATTTCCATAACTTTGGAACGAAATCGCGCTTTTGAAAGTAGATACGTTTGTTCTGCTCGGTTTTCATGACGTGTGTATAATAATGTGACGGTTTATGCTACTGATGGAACATGTGAGTAGTTAGTGGTCAGGTGTTAAACCATCGTCCTTGCATATGACGCAAAGTTGGTACGGAAATTATGGAACCACTTAGCAGCACTTGTTCATCAGTGCAGGTTTTTGGAGACAGTCTAATTAGACACAATTTGTGCGAGCAATATACCTCCCTAGAAATGATACTATTTCGTTACCTGAAGTGAAACAATAAAATTATTTTCACAAAGGAAACTACTCACAAGGTTGCTGAAAATCCATCGACAGCCCACGACCGGTTTCGCCCTTCTTGGGGCTCATCAGGTAGGCGTGGCCACAGAGTTTCCGCAACCTTATGTTCTACTTGAGCCCACAATGGTCGTGGGCTGTCGAAATGTTTTCAGCAAACTTGTGAGTTGTTTCCCTAATGAAAATATACTGCGATATCTCAAATATCGCGCCAAGTGAAACATGAGGCGGCCTATGTGCATCACACTCAGTTGTAGAATATCATAAACGAGGGATTTAGTTGAGTGTCTCGGGAACACCAAATAGACTGACAAATGAATGCATTTCTGGAATAAAATTATTGTTTCAATTTTGTTGTTGATATGACTGCCAGGATATTAGGAATATCGATTCTAAAAGCTTACACGTGTTTAGACAATTCGGTTATTTTGGACAATCGGTGCTCAAAATCATGAAATTGGCATAATCTAGCTCCACACACTTGTGACTGGTCATCTTCGAATGTGGACATTGGAGGAAAAATGCATTTTATATAGTACAAAATAAAATTTTCAACTTCTTACTCTCCAATCAAACGCGATGCATGATGATGTATCCGCGCACAGACTTGCACATTCTGCTATCATATATGTATCGGCCATGACGTACTGCGTGTCCAAAATCGTATCGTTTTGTGGCGTCCATCGGACGTATCCTGCGCGGCAAGTCTTTCGGCTAATGTGTGAAGCTTTCAGTGGCATGCAACGGAGTGATTGTTCATTGGCCAGCGGTGCATTTTGTAAGGTTAGCTCAAAGTACATATAAATTAAAATATAGAGGTCTTTTCCGAATCTTAGACGCTCAAACATGTTTTATCTACAAACGAACTGTTTCTAAAGTTATATATATGCATCAGCAGAAGTCATTTTTTAATTGACCAATCAACGAAAAGCACGTTTGTGATTGGCCACATTTTTGTTAGCATGCTTCTGAAACAGGCCAATCAAGTAAAAGGAAACTGCATGTGCGCGCAGTGGCGCTCGTAGCGAAAAAGGAACTTGTACCTATTCAAAAAAGTAGAATTACGCTAAATTTATGTGGTACCCCTTTGAATAATCACCAGTTACTGGTCTCATTTAGTGAGTTGTTTTCAACATTATCACCTTTTTTGTACATTCAAGTCTGTCATTAGTACCATGGTTTGATCAGCAAAAAAGCTGATTTCGATGATTAATTCATCGGTCCAACTGAGCGGTGAGCCGAATTCACAAGCGCTCGATGGAGGTCGACCTACTGAGCCACTGTAATTAGATTGTACAACTCGCTTTCCAAGTGCGTAGTAGTGTTAGTGTATTTGGCGTGCCATAAATAACTGTTTGAATCAACTAAAGGGAAACTGTATGCAACGGAAAGTTGATTTCCAGAGCACATTTTATTCGCGTTTCGGGTGAGATATAAAAAACAGGGGGCGAGATGGCTCAGTGGCTAGTGCGAAAATTTACCGACAGGAAGGTCCATGGTTCGGACCCGACCTCTGTCTCTCGATTTCCCCTGTCTAGGCTTGGGCAACCTGGCAAAATCCCAGCCTTCGTGCCTACTACTACGATCTAATAACAAAAACTACAATTACTACGAACACAGGTTTTCGGTAGGTGGGATGCCACAAAAACCTGGCTGTGGTGAAAAATATGGCTTTAAAATTCAAAAAAGTTATGTCTAATATTCAGCGAGACGCCTAGGTGAAAAGTAGTGTAAGAGTAACTGTGCATTCTGACCAAAAACCTCCAAGGTCATCCATTTGGATTCCTCCGTACCTTTATTTTGTAATATGTTTTTTAGGACCAGAATAAGAGGCCATTCTCCCGGGTCATTTGACCGGCAAATGTGGCCACAGGGTCAAAGGCTTCAACAACCTCCAAGGTGATACAGACGGCGCCCGAAGGCGGTAGTTTCGGACTTCGAACAAAATAAGCCTAATATGAAAGAAGCGTTCTGGTAGACAACTCATTTGATTCACCTTACAGGACCTGGATGTGTAAACCCAATGAAAGATGAGGAATGGAAGTTCAGAGGGATAGACAAGAAATCCCTTTCAGTATGTAAATAAAACTTCCATGTCCTGAAACTCCAAAACTTTGGGCGGTAGTCAACATCTTTGGCACTGCTGCATGTAAACACAATCACAATAAGTCGACGAGTTTCGCAATCACAACATTTTACTCTGTTTAGTCTAAAATGTCCAACAGTCTCTACGAAAAGTTCCATAAACTCTCAGCCGTGAGCCTTCAATTCAGTTAAGGTTTTGTGATGGAATTTAAGTTTAAAATATTTCAGATTCATCAGAAACAATACTCGAGACTTTCAAGAGAGTGAATTTGTTCAGATGGACACATTCCAAACATCACAGATTAGTCGAAACAGATTAGAAAAAGGTCTATTTTATTACCGGATACGTCTTCTCGTGGAATAACTGCGAATAACTGTAGAAAGTGTGAGAAATCTCATGTCACTGATAAATACAACAGAACATCTTTAAGCGTGGACGGATAAATCCGTGGATTAGCGTGACGGGAGCTGAACAGATTACGATAAGGTCAAACAGGGTAGTAAATCAAAAAAGCTCAACGACAGTCCTTTTTGAAAAAAGAAAACTTAGATCCTGGCAGTCGGATTTTAGTAAGCATTGTGCCCGATACGCATAACAAGTGTCTTTTTTATGGAATTTACTCACTACGCACCTTTCTACATGAACATTTTTGGCCAGACTGAATGATTTTGCATCCAAATTAGCCATTTCCAAACCCCCAATCAGTTGAATCGGAACACGTTTCTAGTTCTCCCCTAATGAATGACCCACTCCATGTCAAACTGATACGGTGAGTTGAGATCCAGGCAGCTATCTCTGTAATCAGGTCGACCATACATGACCAGCGTCTCTCAACAGAATGACAGGTGCAAAGGACATCGTATATATACGAATGCGGCCTCTGGACTGAAAACAGCGCAAGTCAGGTCGCCAATCAGCTGATTCACACGGTGTGGTCGCCACATTAACAACCTGCATGTGCGTATAAACAAAGGCATTATACCAATCGACGAATTGAAAATACTGAAAAGTTTGGTTCACTTCAGTATAGAGTTTACTGCTGAAACGGACAGCCAATCGAACATGTTCTCGGGAAGCAAATGCGTCAACTAGTGAGTCGGTTCGGTTGTGATTGTACAATTAAAACAAAACTGAGGTGTACTCAGATAAGTGAGTGAAACGGTCGCACAATTGTGCTCCTGTGTGATTGTTAAAGCAAACACACCCTACAGGATACAAGGTTTGTGAAGGAGGTAACTTAAATAGTTCCTGCTACCAGCACATTCGTATTTGAAATTGGACAGAATACCTGTGTGATGTACTACTCATTAGGTTGCTGAAAATCTGTCGAAAGCCCACGACCGGTTTCGCGCTTTTTTTGAGCGCTCATCAGGTAGGCGCAGTCCCCGAGTTTCCGTCAGCCTTATGTTCTGCTTGAAACCCAATTGCACGAAATTAGCGAATATACGTTCATTTGAAAACTACTTTGGTTTTTCGAGAGACTCACCTGGAACCCAGCTGAATCTCTCAAGGCGGACTAGTGCAGCACATTCAGTTGCCTGGGAACATCACAAACGAGAGATTCAGGTGAGTCTTTCGAAAAGCCAAATTAGTTTGCAAATGAGCGTATATTGGAAAAAATATGTTTGGCCATCTTAAATTTTCTGCACAAGCCTTACATGTCAAATCAGGCCTTGCTTTCCTCGAATCACCCCAGTGGTCGAGGTGTTCGGAAACATGGTACAAAAGATGAAAAATATACACATTGAGAATAGATGGTCTTATCGTCCAAGCACACCTCAATCGACTGCTCAACTCCGGATGTACCTGTGTGCACCCGTAACTTTGTTGAGACAGTGGGAAAGCATGTATAGAATGAGGCATGCATTCGCGGCTACTTTACGACATCCGAACTCTGCGTGTACTGGTGACAGTAAACGACTCGAGGTCGCTGTTTTCTGGGCCAAACGAGTTCACATCGCGTAGCCGAACGGCGAACGAGTCACGCGATCTTGGGTTGTGTCCCGGCTCCATCACTTGTCCAGCTATCTATAAGGGTGAGATTCGTGCTATCTGATTTCTTCTGGTAGTAACTCGTGCAATGCATTGTTCTGCAGGGTTCAAGATATGCTCGTCAATACACTGACACAGATAGCATCCTGTCACGCCAGCAACGAAGGCTAAATAGTGAACAAAACAGCCTGTAGGTACACTTGTTAGTCATGTGGACCGGGCTGCTGCTTACTAAATGGGCATATCACTGCTTAGGTGATCGCCGCTGAATGGCAAAGTCAAGTGTTTCCCATCTCTGTCGTTGCTATTGAGGAGTTTTGGAATAGTTCCTGGCATGAATATGAAGGAAAGGGTTTGGGGGGACCAAGTCTACAGAAAATCGTTGTTAATGAACTGTCTTTTCCCATTAACTGTGGTCCTCATAACAACTCCTTCAAGCTCGGATAAACAAGGTCGTAAACGAGCTAAGGTTGTAGGAAGCTGGGTTTAGACCAGAAAACTGCAGACAATGCTCATCCGAAGTGAACTACTCCCTGTAACGTACCAGATGTCTGGTGAGCAGCATATCCAAGAACGAGAAATCTCGATATTGTTTGTGTTCATATAAAGCAATTTTAGATTGGGGCCTACTGGAGCAAGCACATTAGCGAAGAGCTTTTCATCTGCGGTCACTAAAATGCCACCAATAAAACTTTTACACAACTCAGCCGAATTAATGTTATTCGGGAGTTACCTTTCAATGCAACCATACAAAATGTCAGGCAAAGTAGGTCCTAATGCACTGTCAATGGTCACATCACTGATCTGGCTAAAATGTGCTTTCTCAAACGTTAAATGAACATTTTCTGTGCATGAAAGATGGTGTTCAGGAGTCTCCTTCAAGAAAACGGATCTACATGGACAACCGGAAAAGTCAACATGACCGCTCTCATCAGTACAAAGCAATGCTACATGAACTTAAGATACCCGCAAAATACCAATAATTATTTTCAACTTAACTACCAGCGATAGGTCAACCCCCTGGACGAAATAACTCCACATGAACATGTGGGGTGCACCGACCAAAAATCTAGTGCTGGTATCAGCTCGTCTTGTTGTGGACTCGGACACAGATCAAAACTTTCTTGCTCTGCTTCAGAGATACCTCAGTTTATTAGTGCCAAATCATGGGTTTTTACCAAATTACAAACAGCACAGTGCCCCGCTCTTGCACATTCCTTTGAATGCTCAGGTACGCGTGCCGTGGTTGGCACACCATCTGATTGGCTCGGCTGCACTTGTAAAAAGCCTCTCTTTCTTCACGGTATTGATTAAAGCAGAGCGTTAATAATTGGCCAGTCGAAAATGCGTTCACTTTCATTGAAAGGCCAAGCTGATTGGCTGGTGATAGGTTTGTCGCTATTGGCCGACAGTGTCGTCAGCCTGTAGACGTCTGGCCTCATCTGGTAGCCCTACACCATAGATCTTACAAAATTCACGACAAGAATATCCACCTCAACAGGAAAACTGACGGTCACACACGATACTCGCTTACGAATATTGTAAATGAGATTACGGAAGTTGTACATGATCAAAGTTTATCCCGGTATGATTCCGTTTGAGCAGATGTGTTCATCAGCCAGTTTACTAAGTCAGTGAGACATTTGATTGACATTTTCTTGATACCAAAAAGCGGTATTGTTCTTCAGGCTTCTGGGATATCCTCAACGTTACCATCCACCTGTCCATCAGTGTGGTCATGACCGCCGTCACACTAGCGAAAACAAAACAAGTGACTGAATTCATCCGTGAATGTCAGAAGAACCACCGAGAGATAAAGACAATAATCGAACAATGAAAATAACCATGTGGAATGCCTTCTTTGCAAAATGTGTAACCTTGAATCCTCGTTTGAGTAACGTGGCTCAATAACTGTAGATTTTCACAACAAATCAAGAATGCGTAAGAGTGCTTTCTAATCAGTCACTTCTCGTTTATTATCCCGATGCAAAATAAGTTCTTTTCAAAGTGTACAACTCAGCTTAAGCCACAGTTTCCAGCGTTGCCAGAGGTCCCAGAACGGGTTCGTCTAATGAGCACTTATTAGGAGAACGAGCTCCGAAAGTAGCAAGACTGCTTAACTGCCAATGGAATAACCGTTTTCGTTGAGACAGATTTCATTGGTTGTTCTTCACTCGCCCTTGACAGATGAGTTGTATTCATAGTAGCACTTTTTTGACCCGGTTATACGCGACAGTGATCAATAGATCAGCCGGTTCGCACGTTCACCGACTTTTTCTGATTTGGTCAAGCGTACCAGCCGATTAAGCGGCTATCCAGACCGGGATTCACGGTAATATGAAGTTATTAAGGGAGTTTAGTCCACAACAGCACACTTCTATTCATATAATTCATTTAGGTGATGCTGTGTCATCCCTCTTTCTATTTTGGCCTCTGCCTGGCCACTCCCACCAATTCAAAAATCATTAAAATAAGCATCATATTTGGTGGTTGGAGTCTAATTCTGCCGGATAACGACTGAAATTTTACAAAGGAGTCAAAAAAACTACTCAGGCTTGTTCAGAAACACGTTTTTGTCGTACGCTTTCCTCCGAATAAGCATTATTCCCGGTCTTCGATGGAGCAACCTACCGGACAGTGTGCAAAGTGCTCTCAGGTGAGCATCCATCACGCTCATTGCTTTTATTACAGGTTTATCTTCAACTGGAAATGTAGCTCATCCCTGTGGGACGAGATTGTCTAAACAGTGCGACGGAATTTTTCTGCAAAACAACCGGTCGTTTCCTTTGGAATATGGACACCTACATCTCCAATGTCGAGTGGAAAGAAAGCAGCATGTCGGTAAGAAATAAGGCGTTTCAAAAAATGGAGGAGAATTCTTCAACAGAACCAGTCATTGGTCTGGAAATACGGTTGTGTACTGGAGTAAAGAGACAGAATTTTACCACGAGGACCTTCGCGTAAAGCGAAAGCACACAAAACGGTTGGTTGAAGTTGACGCTGAAGCCATTGAATGAACACTTTACAATTATCGCTGCTCACCAGTCGAAGACACCTAAGTATCACCAGCAACAGAATTAGACACGGTGGATATTTTTAAATGGATATTAAAGTCGATTCGTGATGAAAGGCCGATAACCATTGTACATCTGTTTCATCCTCATTACAAATCACTAGCAGTGAGCATCACACAAAACCCTTAGTGTCTGCGCTCGGAACCGGCACGGCGAACCGACCCCAGTCTACGCAAAACAGTGTGCAAACGCAGGACAGTCTAATGGACACGTTCAGTTGCAACGAGAGAAGCCGCTTTAGACGGCTGATCAAATGAAACAAGGTATTGGCCATGGTCAACAAATCGGCAAGAATTCTTGATCGAACCCGACCCGGCTCGATTGAAAACGTGTTGGCGCACCGCACCATGAGACGCTCAAAAAACGCTTTTGACCTATTAAGCATCTCCTAGTCACTCGGCAACATGAGTCGTCAACCGATTTCTTCATCATCCATGATAACGTGACAACCGGTCGTGGGCTGTCGAAGAGTTTCCAGCAAACTTGTGAGTAGTTTCCTTTGTCAAGTGTTTTTCGTTGACAAGTGAGGTATTGAATCACACCCGTTCGTGCCGTGTTGTACGCATTTCCTGCGCATTTAGTTTCGAAAGAATTCCCCACATTTGCGTGACATTACATCACATGGCATGTTCCTTGCACCAATAAATCAAAGGGCTTTACTTGCGTCCTTCTCTTGAAGTTTGAATCAACAAAACGTCTCCGGGAATCGGAGTTGAGTTATTGCCGTTTATTTAAACAACGTTAGTCGGTTTTCCGGATCCATTCAGGTTGAATCTATGGTCAGTAGTACGAATCGGAACTAGCCTGTAGACTTCGATAATAACAAAAGTGCAACATGCAAGTGCAGGCCATGAGTGATTGGTTGAACCAACCAGCTAAGGACGTGTACATGCATATCAAATGAAGTACTGTCCTAATTGCATATGAAATGATAGATTTTCCACCTTCCCATTCCCGTGAAATGGCAAACGTTCTTGGATCGTATTGCGAACCGCTGATACTCGGCATAAATGAGAATATTGATGGACAGCCTACCACTATCCTCGCAAAAGATGGCACTGTCGAAGATCTGATGTAGAAATAATACTCCCCCAAAAGAAAACAGCACGATGGGGTAAATCATTCGAAAAAAGCCTTTATTTACTCAATGACTAATATCCCGTCCCCAACAAAGCCACACCAGAGAGAGCTTTGTGACTCGATGTGGTAGGTGCCTTTAACAACAACGTGTACACCAAATCACTGCTACAGACCAACAGCACTACGTACCGTTGAGAGACGATAACAAAACTCAGCACATACCCTCGATAATCGGCCAGTTTGCAATACTTCTCGGGAAGCAAGAATATCATTTTTGTTGAGGTATTTCGACTTATGTTTGCTATTCAAACGCAGTGAGATGTTGGTAAGACATTCGCTTCGGATAGACCTGGTTCACAAGCCTGGACATTTTTACAACCGTCTACACAAGCTTGCAAATCAATTTGGTTTTCCAGAGAGAATCAACTGAATCTCTCGTTTATGATATTCTACAACTGAATGTGTTACACACAGGCCATCTCATGTTTCAGTTGGCATGATATTCGAGATATCGCGGTATATTTTCATTAGGGAAACTACTCCCGAGTCTGCTGAAAACTCTTCGACAGCCCACGACCGGTTTCGCCCTTACAGTTGGGGCTCATCAGGTAGACGCAGTCCCCGAGTGTCCGTCGACCTTATAATCTACATGAACCCAAATTGGACTGTTTTCGAAAAATACACTCATTTGCTTACCTGATGAACCCCAAGAATGGCGAAACCGGTTGTGGACTGTCGAAGAGTTTTCAGCAACCTTGTGAGTAATTTCCTTCATGAAAAAAGACAAATCTACACTCGTTGTGATTCCATATGCAAAATTGTTCTTTAAAAAATGGCCAGAGTGTTCTAAAAGTGTGCAGAACATTATCGAGACTACTTTACTGACAAAGACATCAAAGTCAGTCATCCAGTGCGCTGGATCTTGCGAGTTATACATTAGTGAGCTGTGTTCTTGACTCGAGTGACCGATGCAGTGCAAAGCAAAACATATCGATCCATTAGATTTCCTAACTTAAGCGTGAGTGCAGGACGTGGCTAGGATGTCCTAAGAGGGTCAGAGGCACCAATAATGCTTTTAAGTTGACCAGAACCGCGATGAGCAAATATTCATGCAGAGAATATTTCTAAATCTCCGGTGGGGTATTGTGAATTTGGTCAAACTGGATACTTTACCATAGAAAAGCCAGTACAACACGACCCAGTATCCCAGTGAATGATTAGGAACCCCGTTGTGAACTACTCTGTTTGTCACGCTTTGTTGCCCTCGAGTGGGATACGCTGCGCCGCGAGATTCTCTCTCAAAAAGACGTGTATTACGGCAGAAATACGGGATTCGCACTCAGGAAACAGAATAGTACGCTACTTTTTCTAACCCTGGAACATTCTGCTTGAAAAGTTTTGACAACGCAGACAAAGTATATGGGTCCAACCTCATTCGAAAAACTCATCTAGCTTATTAGTTAACTCCATGATAGCTCCAAAATTTGCCACAATGTATTCCTGAAATTTCACTGTAAGACACCATCTTTTTCTCTAGATAATGTCAGCCTGATATATTTCTGTTGGACCCATTTTTCTGTAAATTAAAGAAAGCGGCAATGTGACCGTGCTGTGCTTGTAACGTTGACGTCTTACATAGTTAGATGAAAAACTTTTAGCCCCACTCTGTCTAAGACGCACGGACGAGACTACTTAGTTACTGCTCTAGAACACACATCTATGGCTTAATCCATCTAAGGGACAGATAACCGTTTTCTTCGTGGGGCACACTACTCATTACATCACTGAAAACGTTTGGACAGCCAACGACTGTTTTAACCTGTCTTGGGGCCCGATACGGTCCCCGGTTTTCGTCAACCGTCAGTTCTGCTTGAAACCACGTGCTAATATGGTCTGAAAGAGAAACTCAGCTGAATCCAGATGAGTCTATCATTCATGTCAGCTATTTGAGAAGCCTAGAAGCTAAGCAAATTGACACCATTGTTTCCGTTGCATCCTCTATTTAATTCCCGCAGGGGGGGGAACATCCCAATTACGACAACTGAGATCGGTTTTACCAGCAATACCTGTTGGTCCTAGCCACTATCTTTGCCAAACCGTACCTGCCCCATGGTACACGAAAGATTCACGGCAAAATTTGAGGGCCTTGACCCACACACTCACCAACAGACTGAACTGAACGAAAAGTCACTTTGGTAACGATTGATTAATTTATTGGTTGTACAGTGCGCTGAACAATGAAGATTTGGATAAAAATGAAGGAAACCACATGATTTTTTCTCCATAATAGTGATTGGTTTGAAGATCACTGCTGTAACACTTCCTAGTGGTATACGCTATCGCGTGGAAAAATTTTTAGATGTTGACAGAAAAACTATCATGAGTAAATAAGCAATGAACTGACTAAAGTATAAAGTCTTAACGTCCACGGAATGCTGAATCTGTAGACATCATAAATTATGGAGCAACTATGCTTATCTAGGAATGTATTCTAGCTAGGCCAAGCCTCCTAGGCTATGCGGTCGATCACGTGTGCCAAACTGAGTCCACTGCAATCCCTGACACCTTGAACAAGTGATCCAACGGTCTGATGATGTAACTGGCGTTACCTCATATTAGGCGTCAAACCATGATGCAGTCAACAAATAAAAGTTCTGGCGGCAAAATTAGCGACGAATTGTGTGGGATCAGCTCTCATTGGAGTTTGGCAACTTACCACATACTGTCAACAATTTTGGTGGCAAAACTAATGATATCAATATTACTAATATCAATAATAGTAGCTTAGGGACCCTCCTGAGGAGATGACAAAACACGGACCACTTTCTAACTAACTGAAGTAACTCGAGAAAATCAGATTTTTCAGGATCACGGCGTATTTACGCGACTCATTCGTACAACAATTTAAAGCGTAGTCAAATGGATCTCTTGTGTACAAAATCGCCATGTGAAGGCCGGGTCGATTTTCGATAGTTCAACAAGTAACCTCCTGCACTCCAACTACATGACGAGTTACAAAACGAAGCTTCCGGCATAAAGTACAACCTACGATCATATTTTGTGAAAGTTACTGCTTACAACATGTATCGGGATGGCGGACCGGTAGCCATTTTAAAGGAACTCATTAGGGGGTAAATTCCGACTTGTCGAAAAGTATCCTGTCTATGAAGTACTCAGGCGCAGAGAATAATATATATGATAATAAAAACCAGTCAAAACTTCGATATTTGTAGGGGACGAGGTGGTTCAAGTGGTTAGAGCGCAAATTTACTGATCAAAAGGCCCGTGGTTCGAACCCGACCTCCACCTCTCTACTTCCCCGTCTAGGCTTGGGCGACCTGGCAGTATCCCTCGTGCCTCCTTCGTGTGACATGGCAGCTAGGCACCGGAAAGATGTTACAACTGAACGATTATTATTTATTTATCGATATTTGTACAGAACTATACATCTTTTATCCGGTTACCATAAGAAATCAGATTAATGCGATAATCGTATGCCGTTATAATTACTGTCATAGACCACCACTCGTCCAGCCATTTAAAATTGTTTCTCACATATGTACGGCATTGTATGACTATGGTAGAAACACGCATTTGGTCTGTAACTCAGAGCTGATCTACTTTACTTTCCAAATTAGAGAAATTAGTGGTAAAAAAAAAACAATCAATATCACCTCCTGACGGCTTCGCTTACAGCAACATTTGATGGAATATGCAGTGTGATTTTTGCTCTGGCGTAGTTCAGGAGTGGCTGGCGATCCAACGTACCCACACTGGTGTCTGGAGTCCTATAAAAGTAAAAAACGTAAGGAATTAATATTGGAATAATACTTAATAGAATCGTGAGTAGGGAAGACGTTGAAACAATGGGACAGCTGATTGGAGTCGAGACAGAATGAGCTCAGATAGAGAAGGTCTGTTCAATCTGATCACTTCCGAAATTTATGTACTATTTCCCTAAACGGTGATTTCAATGAAATCGTTCGAATGAAGGAATTCTTCACTATGAGAGTGCAACAAATACATCTCAGGTGGATTTACTGAAGTTCGTTCAGGTGGCAGCTGACTGATTCGCCGAGCTTGGTGATTGGCTTGCGGGCGTTTAGTCGCCACACAAGGGGACAACGAGACCCAACCCAACTGCATACTGAGGCTGTCTTCATGCATGGCGATGAAACTTTTGTAAGCCACCTGTCAACAGTCAGGTGATGGGGGTTTCGAAGAATGCACTTCACATTATTCTCGTCGGAACGGTCGTTCTCCTGTCTTGGCCCAGTTAGGTCAACATCGGAGGGGGGAAACACTGGCTTCGAGTTCCACTCTTATTAGGACTCATCAGCAGTTCATATCCTTGGCTCTGAGTGGATTTGAACTCCGGATATCTGACATCCGAGGTGAACGCACATTAGACACATCCGTTTTTCGATATCCGGATATCAATACACAAATAGATGGGTAGTCTTAGCTGGGCAAATCTGTTGGCTGTTACTAATAACTGCGACTGTAATAGTATGATTCTGCATGACTCTACAACCTTCATTTAGCCCGCAATTATTCGCAAGCACGACTGAAGGCAGACGCTTCCGAGTGCTGATCATGACAGACAATTTGACATCGAGTATATGCAACTGCGTTGCGGCAGAAAGTACACTTCGGTTTTGAGCAATTTCAGACTACTAATGGCTCACATTTCTATCAGCACCAGGTCATGAGAACTGTCTACTTTTAGGGTTTCAACCTGCTGGGCAGATTCTCACGTAAAATTCAGATAACTGTATGCTAGTTCTTTCTTACTCAAGTTGTTTTTGTGTGCTTGGCCAAATGTAGGAAAGGTTAATTCAGAAAACCTGTGATCTCTGTGTGATCGGTGGATCTTGCCTCTTAGCCTTGTAGCAACTGGAGTTTCTACAAAGGAATGATGTAGAAACGTTAAAAATTTACAGGACTTAATGGGGGCCACATCGAGGCACAGTGTTTTACGGACGTTCTCGACCAAGCCATCCAAACACTTGAGTCTACAACCTCATCATCACTACCAATAGCATTTTCTGTCGCTGTTGCTCTCACTGGTATAATCATCAAAATCATTTATACTGAATTAATAATGCTATAATTATTACAGTTGTTCAGCCGTATATAGTTATATATACAGTTATATTATAACTAAAACTGTGCACATTATTATAATTATAAATCAATCAGTCAATCAATCAACCAACGACCACTATAAATACCTTCATTATCAGTAGTATCATTATTACTATCGTCAATAGCATCACTACACTCTACAGCAGAAAACCAAAAGCCAACGAATTGTTTTTTCCGCTGTAACATGGTGTTTTTTTACCAGCTATCTCATAAATCATGCGAATGCCTTGTCAAGCAGTCAATTTAAGAAGCATCATCCTTAGGCATTCAGCTGTTTACCTTCCAATCGAATGCAATACAACGTGGCGTTTGGGCACACCGTTCTGCGCATTCCGGTATCAAATAAACGTCGTCCAATACATTGTGTGTGTTCCACATCATGTCTTTATGTAGCACCCATTGAACGTATCCGGCAGGACAGTCAACACGTCCAACATGCGACAGTTCCAGTGGCATGCAATCAAGGAGGACATCCGCAGCGATGAATGCATTGCCTTGCAAAGAAAGTTTGAAATACAGATAAAGTAAAACGTGTACGGGTGTACCAGACCTCTGGGACTGAAGCATAATTACTTCGGGCAAATCGTGTTTATTGCTACATCCAGTTATACTTAATTGATATTTATAAACTGTCCAATCAAAGAGAGCTACGATTCTGATTGGCTGTGGTCTGGTGGACCAATAATAAGCCAACGAGTCGAAGAAGGCGGTAGTTCAACCATAATTTTGACTTGAAGTAGTTTCATTCAGTCAAACTTTTATGATTCTCACGGTACAGATGACGAGGTAGACACGGAGACCCAGGATGAAAACATGTTTTCCTAAATAGGTTTGAGCTGACCTTATCAATGTGTGCTATCAAATGAGTGGTGGCTCGAACGACAGCCAATACTGATAGGCTTATTGACAACAGCATGAATTTCCAGACAGTGGAACACGAGTGGTACTCACGAACAGAAATGGGTAAACATCAAACTGAAGTCATTCCTGTGTTATAGCGCCCGATCCCGGTTGCTGACGAATGGGAACGACAGTACAGTAGTAGTGGAATAACCACTTGTTCAGCAGAGCTGATGAAAAGGGTGCGACAATCTGAGGAGCATACATCGATGAGAACATGTATTGCGCGTCTCTATGGTCTCCTCCACAAACTGCACAAGGCCCTCTTGGTCCAAATCGGAAACTGTACCCTAAACGGCAACACAATAGTGCCAAGTGGCGGTGTGAACTACTACAACCGGTCCAAAGGTTGGATGTTAGATAGAACCATAAATATAACACTTCTACACAAGAAAGTATTGACGACAGATGCTTTATTTTTACTAATGAAGCGTATTGGAGAATCTGCAGTCTATCCGCCACAATATTCAGAGAGAAGGAATTGCTATCACTTAACCGCCCGACAGGTTGACAAATTAAATTTTATTGTGGCTAGTTGCGAAATATGTAGAATGCACGCTCACACCACTCTCGTTTTGATAGTAGTCCTCTGGAACAATGATTCTGATAAGCCCACACACACCTTGTTATGACAGCTCATCAGTAGTGCATATCCTTGCCGGAGTTTGAACTCCGCACATCCGACATGCGGGGAAAGCGTGTTACTACCATCCCACAAGCGTACACTGGATTTTCACATCGGAACAGGTAAACATGTTCGCGCTCGAGTGATGGGAGTGGAAGCCCCGATGCCTCGAACAACGATTCAGTAACATACCTTGGTTGTGCCCGCCTGTCAGCGCTTCCCAGTCAGGTAGCGCCACAGACGCTTGAAACCTCCTGAACAACTTTGGATTTGTTGTGGTTGGTCATGGGATTTGTAAAGCGAGAGTTGTACTTAATTTTATGTTCAAACTCGAAAGCATCACGGTCGAAATTCTAACTTCTGCGATGGGTATGTCGATGATACCTTCTGGATATTCACGTTTTCATGTGAACTAGTATCCCTCTTGACCACCTACACTGAGTTATATTCAGGCTGTCCCCACTCCATAGCCTAGTGCCGGAAAACAACGCACTTTATAGCAAACAAGCGAATGCAAGTGTATAAGGGTCCCGTGCAATATTTTGAAATGCGTCGTTTGACTGGCGCAGGCTGTCCGATGCTATATTCTTAAGGGTACTGTCTGACCTCGACCCAAGACTATCTGATCGGCATTTAGTTGAGTTTGGGGATCACAGTAGGTTTCGGGTATTCTGGGATGATATTCAGGAATCTGACCTTTCTGACACTATCTGACCCTTACACTGATGTATGTTCAAATACATCTTAGATTTATGAGTTCGAACGGAGAGACCACCTGACCCCACCTGACCTATCAATACCATGAACGCGCAATGAATAAACTAGGCAAGTCACGTGTTTTGGTGCGAGGCGATTTGGGTACTTTCAATTAGGAATTTTGCTGTAAGTTTATGCTGAAAAACCCAGAATCACTATATGGCTAGCTGTTTCATCCTTCTTTGGAATCACCAGCAGTGTGCACCTCACAAATCCAGAGGTAGTTCCGAGCCCCAGACCTCCTGTTTTGTAGTTTGGATACTTAACCGCTCGGTCCTCAGCAGTACGATTAGCCCTCACTTAGACAGGGGCAAAATGGCCCAAGTGGTTAGAGCGCGAATTTACTGACCGGTAGGTCCGTGGTTCGAACCCGACCTCTGCCTCTCAACTTCCCCTATCTAGGCCTGGGCAACCTGGCAGTATCCCAGCCCTCGTGCTTCCTTCTGGTGGCATGGCAGTTAGGCACCGAAAAGGTGCTACAGCTGAACAATTTTTTTAGACAGGATAGGGTATCGCTCATCCTGCAATGCCAGAACCCGCCCCACGTGGTCACGTGCTGACCGGCTCCTAGACTGAGGACCCCTCAGGTGAAAGTCTTAATCGTTTTGTGAATTCATTCTTATTCTGAGCTGCTGTTAGTCAGGAGATTTGAGAATTTTTAACGGAGACTCCGTTCTGTAAGTGAAACCACTCCGTCTTCGAAAAGTACGTGCCGTAAGCTAACATGGGCCTCTGAGCTACTGTTAGTCAGGAGATTTGAGAATTCTTAACCGAGATTCCGCTCTGTAAGTGAAGCCACTCCGTCTTTGAAAAGTAATTGCCGGAAGCTAACATGGACTGGATAATACCCACATACTACCACGCTTCATCAAGCAAGCAAGTCTTCTCCATGATCGAGCCTAAACGAGTTGTTCAGAAAACATCCTAACTAACGATCTGGAATTTCTCAACAACGTTCTTCGAAGGAGTGGACATTGAGACAGAATACTGAAGGAACATTCCCAACCCAGGACCATCGGAATCGCTACGTAAATGATTTTGCAAAAATATTCTTCTTCTTACGCTCTCGTGTCTAATGTAACCCAGACGGAAAATTCCAGGTGAAAGTATTTGATGATTTGGTCCAGGTATCATCAGGTCGTAACCGAGGGACATTTTCTCCTCAGGCAATCCGTTATGGCTACCGAATGTAACTGCTTCAAAGATTGGCGAACATACACTCATTTGCAAACTACTTTGGTTTTTCGTGATGTTTCCATATATACATGTATCGCGATATCTCGAATATTGTAGCGACTGAAACATGAGGCGGCCTGGTGCAGCGCATTCAGTTGCGTCAGAACATCACAAACGAGAGATTCA